TATCTATCTATCTATCTATCATCTATCTAGCTATCTATCTAGCTATCATCTATATCTATGCTGTGCTATTTTGATAATTTTCAGTAGCAACACTGCTCCAGAACTTCTCTTTTGAATTCTAATTCTAAATTAGTAATTATCACAATGTAACATTACACTTATGTAATATAAAAGTTTGGATTGCTTGCGGTGATTTTCACAAGGCAAAGGTAAGTCAGATGCTTTATGTGGCTTGGCAGGCCAGGTGAGCTGTGAGTCTTCCCAGGCCCCAGCAGCTTCGCTTGTACAGTGATTTTCTCTGGGTTGTGAAGTTTCGCTTACACCAGTAAGCTGGATGGGTGGCTGAGATGGTGGGGGCGGGGGGAAATAGGTGGGTAGAGAGAGTTGTAGTATGTGCAGGCTGCCAAACATTTACGTTTTTATCATGTGACTGTAGGATTGCTGAAATGGCTGTAACTTCGGGAACAAGTTGTAAGCCTCTTTGTTCAACACCATCTTAATTTTGAACAGTTGCTAAACGATTGGTCATAAGTCAAAGATTACCTGTAAGTTATATTCTTCATCATAGACTTTGAGATATTAGCTGGACTTCACCTGAATAGTGTCCACCCTACTCAAAATCCTTTGTGTGTGACATATACATTTGCAATTCCAATAAATCTCCATTAAATGGTCCTTATATGAGTTAGCTTTACTTATACTCCACATTCAAAGAGTCACACTACAGACTATTGTAATTCACCTCACATGTACAGTATTTAACAAACAAAAAAGCCATGGTTTGAGGAGAAAAAAATCATAAGTCATCTTATATATAACCCCAAACTCAAGTTGATGAAGCAAAGGTGTAACAATATGAAAAGTACTGTATATTTTTCATTTTTACCTTCATGATCTTCCAATATATGAACCACATCCCCAATCTGTAGTGATATCTGGGGCACTTGGGTAGCTTTGAAATTGTATATTGCTGTGGAAAAAAAAGAATACAATGTCATTAAACAACTTTATATTTTAAATGGATTAGGTTCAGATGCAGCATTCAGTTTAATATTATGAGAAAGAGCTTGCATAAGTTTCTTGCACCACCACCTCTCTTCTCTGAATTAATTGTAATTAAGAGTTTGCAAGTTCTCACTTCTCTTCCCAAATCCTTTAATTGTTTTTATCCAACTGAGAATTGTGATTAGTGTTAGCTAATCACTTTGGACAGGAGTAGACAAACTGTGTCTGGCATATGCTGCTAAGAACTCTCCAAGATCATGCCCTCAAAGTGAACAGGAGTTCAATAACTTTTAGCAACTCTTTCCCCTTAATGCTTGAACAGGTCAATGAGTAAACCTCCAACCATCTCTCAAAAACAACAAGAAGTTTGCCACTGCATTCTCTATAGATTTTATTATCACACTAGCCAGATTCTCTGCAGCTCTGCAGGATAAATCATCATTGCCTCCACCACCATCTTCAAAAAGAAAAAACTCTTGCATCTGGATGAGAGAAATAAATATGCCTTGAATTTTGGTGAATGATGGGTTGATATTGGATTTGGACATAACAGTAATACTCTCAGCTTCCCATGAAAGGGAGAAAAACCCTTTTCTTGTCCTTAGTATAATACCACAGAGCAGAAAGAAAAGGAGTGCTCTGAACCTTGTGACACTGGTATGAAACTCCAGTGCACAGAATGAAACAGACTAATGAGAGATAGAACTATTTGAAAGTCACTTTGATTTTCAGTCAAATTATGTCAATTCCATATCAAAAGGAACCGGTCACATGAAAAAGTTCGATTCACAAGCCAAGGTTATTTGGTTGTACTGCAGTTTGGAAAGCTGCCCCCGAACATAAGAAATACACGTGGAAAATACAAATACAAGAGAATCAGTGCTCTGAATGATATAATTAGAGAGCTGAATGTTAAGGCACTCTTGTGCTATTTAGGAAATAAAATCTGCACTTAGTTGATGAAAAATGTGTCGTGAGAATTCAGGGATCCAACTTTCATTAACAAAAGTGTTTTCAGCTAGTACAAAACAATTTAGGTAATGTACTATGTTTGGGGCATAACTGTACCACTTGTGAAACAATTCCACCACGGGTTCTATTAAAGCAGCCAAGGGCAAAAACAAGTATTAGATTAATTACCAAGTATAAATTGGGCTTTTGGTTTGAAATAAATGTATTTGTGCTGCATTCTCCAAAAGAATCCAGACACTTGAATCCTAAGCACATATTAAATGGTTGTTCCAAATTCTCCTCTTTACTACTTACCATATTTTTCAGACTATAAGACGCTCCAAACTATAAGACTCATATTAGCTTTACAGGAGGAAAATAAGGGGGAAAAAAATCTGTCGCTGTCTCCCAGCAATTTGCCTCCTTGCAGCAAACAGCTTAGTCAACTTCAGCACAGCCTGATTTAGCACGAGCAGTTGATTGGCGGTTGGATCGGCCTCCCGGAATACCACCATCAGCTGTTACAAGCTGTGGGGATCGCCATCACCCAACACTGCTGTCACTGCCCAACGCCACCAACGCCTATCAGGGCCTCCACATGCCCCATTTTCAGCTTCCATGCATCCTATTTTTGGTCGTTCCAGGCAGTGGAGATCATTGCCGCCTATCACCACCAATTGTCACCACCATTTGGTGGTGATAGGTGGCAGCAGCAATCCCGCAACTGAAATGTGCAGAGGATGAAAATGGGGCACATGGAGGCCCCAGTAGGCAGCAGCAGTGATGGGTAGTGACAGTCCCCACAGCCTGGAACAACTGATGGGCGGTATTCCGGGAGGCTGATCCAACCACTAATAATCTGCCTGGGCTAAATCAGGCTGTGCTGAAGCTGACCAGGCTGTATGCTGTTTGCTGCAAGGAGGCAAATTGCTGAGAAGCAGAGGCAGAAGGGAGGCGGCCAGCGGGTGGGTAGGACTTCGGCAACATTCACTCTTTAAGATACACAGACATTTTCACCCACTTTTTTTTGGGAGGGGGGAGAGTGCATCTTATAGACTGAAAAATATGGTATTTCATTCAAAATTTGTCTTGGCATTCTTTCCACCACACTAGCCAATTGCATAGAAAGCCGTTTCAAGAGATAAGCAAGACAATTCAATGACAATAATCACCTTGTAACAACAATTAAGGCCATTGTATTAGTACATTTTGTTCCCAGATTTGACTCTCTTTGTTAATCAGCTTCCCAACCAAAACGTATTTACAGCCAGATTGCAACAATCTGTTTCCTACATGACAGTGAGAATAATGTTCACTGTTTTTACATTAAAATACTAAATGTTCAATGATCAGGATGTTTTTAAAGGACTTTTCACTGTTGCCTTGATTTATTCACAAAATTACATATCTGCGTCCAGATAACATCATCTTCCTTTTTTTATATATATCTTTTGTTTTTTAGTTTCTTTTTTTTTAAAGAAAATTAACTGTTAGAGAGGAAAAGACAGCCTGCTAATCAGTAGCATTAATTAAACTGAATGAATAAATTAAAAGCCTTTCCTATGCCAGCACTCAATCAATTATAAAGTCAATAATATCCTAAAAGCCTCAAAGATAGTTTGGGGGCTGTTTGCATTATATTTACATTACATATTATTGCAAGAATAAGGGATGTTTTGGCTGCCAAAGTGCTGCAGGAGGTATCCATCCTATTCCTCCCCTAGTCCCCGTCACCCCAGCCCACCCTGCTGGCCTGTGGAGGAGAACTACAATGCTGATCCAGCCCTTGAAGAAATCCAGTTTGACACCCCTGGAATAGAGTAACCAAAACCCAAAGACCTTGTTCTTTTCTTGTAGAAAAATTTGAATTATCACATGTCACCTCCAAAAACAAAGAAAGGCACATTGTGATTCTTCCAAGCAAATTTCATTATCATTCCATATCTAAAGGCAGAATCTTGCCAACTAAAGCAGACTATCAAGAAAGAATCACAGAAAGTATATACTTGGGAACTATTAGGGAGAGGATGTCTTTACCCTTTTTTTCTCATACAAACTATCTGAACTGAGTTGTTTCTTATTCCTCTGGATTCCCTTCCTCCTGGAAATCCATTACATTCCATTACATGCAGAAGGGCCTTGGTAATGCTTTCATAATTAAATGGGCCTTTAAATGTGCAGCCATAAACACTTCGTTTGTCAACTCATTTAAAAAATAAATAAAGAGAATATGCTTAAATGAATGGATCACATTACAGCTTCAGAAAATAGAGCACAGACTTTTCCAATCAGCTGGTTAACATAGTTGGAAGGCACCAGAGGGAGAATGCTAGCACCTAGATAACTGCAGAGATGGTATTCAGCAGGTTCTGTCCAGTTCTGGAGAACCGGTAGCAGAAATTTTGAGTAGTTCAGAGAACGGCAAATACCACCCCTGACTGGAGATTTTACAGTATCCTTCCCCTGCCACGCCCACCAAGCCATGCCCACAGAACTAGTAGTAAAAAATTTGAATCCCACCACTGGATAGTATTGATTTACTACAAATATAGAATTCAGTCTGCCATTCAATGTTGAAGTCTGTCTCCTTCTTAACCTTGCACTCGTTTTATTTCATGTATTTCGTTTCCAGTTTTGTTCTTAAAGAAAACAATTTCATGAAGCAGGTGTGAATGTACAAGTAAATGTACATTCTATCCTGTGATCGCTGGATTGGTTCTGCTTGTGTCAGGAAGAAAGCGGCATAGAACTTAATATTCAGTGTTTAGCAATTTTGCCTTAATAGAATAACATTATTTGCTCACTGATGGTACCTTAGGAAAGGGCTTTGGCATGATGACATCCAACTAACTGACAAAGGAAGTGGTTTTGCCGCCTTGATGTTTTTTGAACAAGTGGAAACTTACAGCCAAGTTCTGCCATGTAATTTAATATTATGAATGTGATTTTTAAAAAACGATAATACACAGGGAGGAAAGAGATTGAACATTGTGAATTTCTGTGTATGAATTCAGGAGGCCAAATGATTTTTTTAAAATCTATATCAGTGAATATCTTCTTTGTGCTTACATGATTCCAAACTCTTTTCCTTTTTTTTAAACATGTGGAACACAGCTTTTTTAAATGAATAAGTTTTATGTATTAGCCTAAGATTATACAGATTACAACATTTCACTTAGTGACAGTTCAAAGTTATAATGGCACTGAAAAAGTGACCTATGACCATTTTTCTCCGAAGACTGTTTCACACTGAAACATTCCCACAGTCATGTGATCAAAATTCAAATGCTTTGCAACGGACTCATATTTATGACAGTTGCAGTGTCCTGAGGTCATGTGATCACCTTCTGTGGCCTACTGACAAGCAAAGTCAATGGGGAAACCAGATTCACTTAGCAACCATGTTACTAACTTGACAACTGCATTGATTCACTTAACAACTATGGCAACAAAGAGTGTAAAATGAGGCAAAATTCATTTAACAAATGTCTCACTTAGCAACAGAAATTTTGTGGTCAATTGTGGTCATAAATCGAGGATTAGCTGTATAGCATTTATCAACAGAATTACTGTAAATGAATGAGCAAGCCACTTGGTTGTATGTTTTCAAGACTCCAGAACACAGAATGTGTCCTGACTTGATTTACTTTGGAAGAAGAGACAAGTGTAGATATTTTCAGATATAAAAGTTGTGCATAAAAGATGCTGACTAAATATTGCACTACTTTATATTTGATTTGCAAAAAGAAATCCCTGCATCTCCAGTTAGTACTAGGTTAGGATTCATAGTTCGCTGTATAATTCTGCTGATATTTTCTACTCCAGAGCACATAATGTATTGTTATACTATATATAAAGACTGAATATGCTCATTTTCAAATTGATTTCTCTTCTTTTATCATTCAAGAGTGAATAAATATTCTCTCAATTAATTCCTACTGATGGCCATTATCATTGTTTCAAGTTTCCTTCATGAAATTCAAGTCATTGGCCACCTTATAACAAATCATAGTC